CCCCGCGCCCGCCGCCATGGCGCCGCCCGCGCCGCGCGCGCGCGCACCGCCCGGGACCGCGCTGCACTTGGGACCGCAGTCCGGGAGTCCTTGAATGCGTGCTTTTAATGCAACAGAAGTACACATTTCGGTTGGGAAAAAGAAAAAGAAAGGAAGTCTGTGACGAAGAGTGTGCTCCTGTGCCAGAAGTCTTCTTCTGGCAAAGACAATGCAGTGGATCTTAGTCGTGGGATTTCAGGAAGTAATGCAGCATTTGTTTTGCAGTTGTTGTGTTCCACCCTTGACCTTTTAAGGGTCCCTCACATACGGCCACATACTTTGTTAACATGAGTCTCCCTGTTTCTTGGAAATCCAGCGATATGCTCTGTGATCTGCTGCCCAGGTCACTGTTAGACACAGGATCTATTGACTCAAGGCTTTCTTGCTTCCCTTCTCCACAGTGTTTCAGTCGCCAGTAGCACATTTCTCCACTGTACATCATTGCCAGCAAGTGAGTGTCACTAAATATACCTGCAAAAATAATTTAGATCAAGTATTTTATTGTTCTGCTGTAAGCAAGTACACAGCTTGTTCATTTTTTTCAGTAACAATGGGGAAGAAAATTCCAAAAGACAATATAACTATATGATTTTATAAATATATAATGCCCAGAAGAAAACCTGGATCAAAACCATGCTCATTTCTCTGTCCAGTTTGGCCTTCCATAATAAAATCTTTTAAGACTGCCATATAAATATTATTGCTATAATTTTGTTTGCCTAGTTATCTCATAGAATTTCAGTATTTCTCTACAGCCTCTTTAGCACAGGCATGACTGTACATATTAACTTTGGAGTATTTCTGTGCCTCCCACAGTTTAAGCCTAAAAGATACTGTCTGAGGTCATCTTAACTGAGGTTAACCAGCAGCAGCTTTATTGGTATTTGAATTCAAAGGCGCATGTGTGTCTTTCACAAAAAAAAAAAAAAAAAAATCCTGCTAAATAAATCCACAACTTGACTTTACATTATGGAGCTATATAGCAGCAATGCCACTTGCAGATGAAATCAAACAAGAAGGTGATGGATGTCCTACTACAGTCAGAGTAGAGCTGTTTTTGAGTGTGCTCAATGTGGACATCATAACCTCAGCACCAGCTGGTTTACCTCACAAATCCCCTCCGGCTGTATCACCTACCTGCACCACACTGATGCAGCCTAAGATCCTCCTAGAAACGCTCAATAGGAATGAAACTTACATAAAGCTACATAAAGTGGTGACAGAGAACATTTGCGAAATCTAACCAGATCTGCATATAGTTTTTACCTGCGTGAAGTCTGTAATTGTGTTTGTACCTGTGCTGTCCTAGAGTTAAAAGGGAAGATCAGTGTATGAACCTCTGGCACCCTCTGCAGTCATATTTGTGCCTTAAACAGCTATCAGTTGTGAACGGGATGGTTCACAACAGAACACTGTGTATAAACACTGCCAGCGTAAAACACTACTGTGCATCAAACACTCATTGCCTCAGTTCACCTTCCTCCAGTGCACTCATAAATCACCGCGAAAACGAGCACTGGCACCTCCAAAAATTCACAAGTCAAAAAAGAAAGGGGGAGGTGCACTCTTGCTTGCTTATTTGCCTCATCTATTATCTTCTGGTTCTAAAAAGTGTCAAGTCTTGAACACAAATGAGGTGAAACAATAAAAACACACAAAAAAGCATTTCAAAAAGTGAAGCAGTTATTAAGAGGAGTGGGTTAAAAGGTTTTTTGGAGTTACTTTTTGGGGTTTTTTTTACCTTCACTGAGTAATCTAGCTGTGTCTTTATCTTGAAGTGAGATATCTTCATCTAGCTGAAGAGGGCATCTAAAGCTAAGCATCTTCATCAAGTACTGAACTCCATCATTAAGACACTGAATACAGTTAAAAATGAGGAAAAAATAAGTTCTCATTAAATTAATGATACACAGAAATACGTCTTCCTATGAAGCCCCAAAATACCAATTTGAAGAAAAAAACAAAAACAAACAAACAAAAAACCCAAACAAACAAAAAAACCAACCAAAACAAAAACCCAGCCATATATTAAAAGTGAAGAGTCAAACTTTAAAGCTGTATTCACAAGCTCATAGAACATTTTAATCTCCTTTACCTTTTTAAATGTGGCAATGTTTTCTTGTAGCCATTCACTCCTTTCTTTTGCTGTGTGGCAATACATGTAAAGCAGGGCTCCTTTTCTCCAGTAAAGACATTCTAACAACTCTGCTCCAAGGATGTTAATGGGCTGAAATAAAATCCAACAAACTGGTCTAACACAAAAATAAACCACCTGAAATACTCATATGCACTGTCACACATGCAAACACTGTGTAAATCTCTTACTTCAGGGGCTGTGCTTGACAACAACACTCAGAGAGACAAGCCTAGCCTAACCTAACACTGTAGGTCAAATAGAAATGTTAACTGCCTGTGGAATCATGAAACGCTAGCAAGAGAAATTCTGAGCACACAACAAGGCATTTGAAACAATATTTTCAGAAATCCCTATTTAAACACCAAAAAGACATGAAAATGTTTCAAAATACTTTAAATACTCATCAAAAATACAAATACTATGTCCCATTTCAGATTTTTTGTTTTTAAATAATGAAATAATTTGCCCTCTGGCTACTCACTTCTTTTATGCCACATTCCCTCACTAGGTCTTCTGGTTCTGAAAGAACAGAAATAAGTTCTTTAAGTTTTTGCAAGGCAGATTCTTCTGGAAAATCTTCATCCACAAGCTGGTTTTCCTCAAAATATGTAATGTCTAGGACAGCCTATGAAAACAAGAACATACACAAAGTAGAAATGCTACCGTCAAAATAATCAAATGGCGGTGTGTTTTAACAGAGAAAACTCATTCGTTTATAAAACATTACAATTTGAAGGTATTTTTTAACATTTAGTTTACAAAAGGTGCAAGTTAGAATTATTGAAGGATTGGTGATTGTGAATGTCAACCAAACCCCTTTCTGGTCCTAAAGTAACAGCAAGAACGATTCCCAAGTTATCCAAGTCAAAAGCAGTTCTGTGCTTCACAGACGCTCACCACACACCCCCAAGTAATGGAGCCGCCTTTCTCCCCCACCCTCCTTTTTCACACCAAACCGTCTCCCACACCCTACACACGTTTTCTTGAAAGGCAGTTTGATGTCCATAACAAAGTACCTGGGTATAGAGCTGAAAAAGCGTGGAAGGATGTTCTTTCCCTTCCTTGCAGAGGTCCTTTAACTTGTCCAGATTAGCAGAGCCTTTCGCTAAGAAGGTATCTGAGGGAAGAACACAATGCTCCCTTAGCACCGACGAGCACTCAGCAGGAGCCTTATCACTCTCCTTTTCTACATGGCTTTATCATCCATCCTCGGGGCATCTACAAGAGCGGCTGAATAATACAGCACTGAAGCAGGCCGGTTATCCCGTCAGACCGCACCGTTCGTAATTAAATTAAAGCCATCCGCGACCACGCTCTGATGCTCCCAAGCGCACACGCCGTGTGCGAAGATGCCCTCGCGGCCGCCCGTGCCCTCAGGGCCACCCGCGCCGCCCCCGTCCCCGTCCCCGTCCCCGTCCCCGTCCCCGCCGCGCCGCTCACCGNCCGGGCGCGGGGCCTGGCGGTGTCGCTGCCGCCCGGCCTGGCCCGGACACCCGGCCCCCGACCCCGCCGGGACACCGCCGGGACACCGCCGGCCCGCCCGCCCTGCGCGCGTTGACGGCGGGGACTGCAGTTCTGGGCTTGTGGGGGCGTGAAAGCTCTTTCATAACAGACAGGTGCGGCGTCTGCAGTGCCCCGTCCGTCTTCTCGGGAGACACCCTGTGTTTACAGAATGTACGGAGTCATTGTACAGCTTGGAAAAGACCTCTGGTTCCAGACTATGACCGAATATCACCATGTCGACCAGACCGTGGTGCTGAGTGCCACATCCAGTCTTTCCTTAAACAGTTCCAGGGGCAATGACTCCACCGCCTTCCTGGGCAGCGTATTCCAACATCTAATCACCCTTCCTGTGAAACAATTTGAAACAATGTTTTGTGAAGTGTTTTGTGAAATACTTCGTGAAACAGTATTATGTCCAACCTAGACCTCCCGTGGCACAGGTTGAGACTATTTCCTCTCTTCCTGTCACTGGTTTCCTGGGAGAAGAGCCCAACCCCACCTGGCCACAATCGCCCTTCAGGCAGTGGTAGAGGGTGACAAGGTCACCCCTGAGCCTCCTTTTCTCCAGGATAAACACCCCCAGCTCCCTCAGCTGCTCCTCACAGGACTTGTGCTCCAGCCCCTGCCCCAGCCCCCCTGCCCTTCTCTGCACTCTCTCCAGCTCCTCAGTGTCTTTCCTGCAGTGAGGGCCCAGCCCTGGACACAGCACTGGAGCTGTGGCCTCACCAGTGCCCAGCACAGGGGACAATCCCTGCCCTGGCCCTGCTGGCCACACCATTGCTGATCCAGGCCAGGATGCCATTGGCCTTCTTGGCCACCTGGGCACAGCCTGGCTCGTGTTCAGCTGCTGTCACCAGCACCCCCAGGTCCTTTTCCACTGCAAAAACTTGACTGGGGTTTTACCCCATCAGTGAATGCTTTCCAGCCTCACTGCAAAATAGGTGTTGCCCATCAAACAAACTGAAACCAAGGCAACAAAGATCAAGCCCACACTTACTTTTCAATGAACAGTTTCAGTTTTTTAAACTACATTTTAGCACTTAATTACTTAAAATGCAGAAGTACAGATGTAAAAATACATTATGTAATCCTGAAACTAAATACTTTTGATTAGATAAGTGAAGCACTTGCTCCAAAATTTTGTCCAGCTTTTAATAATACCCTTGCTGAACTTCATAAATAATAAAGAGTTTACATATATGAAGGGAAAATTGTGAGCTTTCCTTTTAACAATATCTTGCTACTATCTGACAATCAATCATCAAATATTTTGTGTTGTCCAGTTATAAAAGTGCTACATTTTACTATGTTTCCCTAGCCTTCTTCATATCTTTACCTGCCTGGAAAAAGCTAATACCTCAGTGTCTATCCTAGTAATGAAAAACAAACTCACAGTATTCAGAATTTTGTCAGCTTGAATTTTTTGAAAGAATAATTGACTAAAGACATTTTCCCATTTTGAGGTCATATGCTGTTCATTCTGTCATTGCCTGTGTTCCACCAAAGTACCTAAAAAGCCAAGCAAGTAAGCAAGTAAAAACTCACCAAACCTCCCCTCCCCTCATCCCCGAATATAAAGTGTCATTTACTGGAGTACTTTAGAAGTGAAAAGCTGTCTACTTACAGACAGAGTTATTTTTGCTGTTCTCTGTCTTATGTCTTATGAAATAGTTGCCAAACAGGTTAAAAACTAGCAAAAAAAGTAGAAACTAAAAAGAATTGTGTTTTCTTTCCAAAATGGTTTGATTTAAATAAGAAATCAGTGTTTTGATTGGATATGTATTGGTGTTCATTCCTGCATAGTTGATATTCAGATACAAGTTTTTATCAAAGGAACAGCCGTGTTAAGAATACCAAAAGTATTCTGGTAGCTAACCTGCTTCATGCCTTAAGTGAAATACAACACTTTCCATGTTGTCAGCTTTGGGACTGAAAAAGGCTTGTGAGATTAAGACAACACCTTCTTCAGATCCTTTGCTTTCTTGGTCCTTACTTCTCCTCTTCAATCCCCAGCTATGATTTAAGTGTTGCTTTTTTTCATACCTAGTCAAGTGTGCAGGTACATCAGCCCTTAATAGTGAAGGAGATGTCACCCAGCCTTCAAGATGTCTCCTGGAAAAACCCTTAAAAAGTTTTCCGAAAAAAAAAAAAAAAAAAAAAAAAAAAAAAAAAAAAAAAAGAGCCCCAAACAACCTCAAGCAGAAAAAAATTACCAAATGGTTGTATGTTGACTCATCTGATAAAGGAAGTGATATTTTTTCTTCCTGTGCTTCAGGCACTGCTGCAGCTGACTTTAGCTGTATCCATTTTAAAAGCTATGTGTATATGCAGTGACTGTTTTTTCTCCCAGAAATTGTTATCCACTCTTTCTGTAAGTATCCAGTGAAATTGGTTTTGACCTTATCAGTTGCTGAGATGAAAGAGGTGTGTTTCTGTTAATACCAAGCTGGAAAAATAGAAGCTGCTAGAAAGGTTAAAAAGGGTAGTGACACACACTTCTCTTGGAATAATTGTAGTGTTTGGTTTTTTATTTCCCCCAACTTGATTTTTATCATGAAATGTGTGAGGGAGCAGAAGACATCTCTAGAGGTGTTTTTCTTGGCATTTGTTTCTCTCATACCCCTACATACTCCCTCCCACTGGGAACTGGTTTGTGAGGAACAGAGATGACAGGACTTCTGGGCAAATAACTGAGAGACTACAGCGCCTGGAAAAGGGTCGGGGGGCTGAACCGGTGTGGGGTGCTGCCTCCTCACTGCCCCAGGCAGCCTCTGCCTCTCTGCTGCCTGGACTGCGCTCTGAACAGCTTAATGCCCTTCCCTGCCCCAAGCTGTATTCCCTTGGGCACCAAACCCCCAAGCTCTGTTTTGTAGTTTATGGAGTGGCTGTGCCAGCCTTTTCCTCACACCTTACATGGTGCACCAGTCTGAAGACTGGTGGAAGGATGAGGTGTCTGATTATTTGAGGGAATGGTGAGCTCATTTGCCTTATTTTTTCTTTTACTTAGAACCTGTTTGAATGAAATCCCTGTCCGTCGGATATTTCAAGGAGAGTGGACTGGTTCAGGGTTTGCTACCTCTCACCATTCTTCTCAGAGCTTGGGAAATGTAGCATTCAAATTCCTAAAGCTTTACATGAAGGTGCATCAAATATTTTTCTGCATATTTCAATGTTTAAGAAGAAACTGAGTGACACCATAAATTATGTTGAAGCAAAAAAAAAAAAAAATGTTTAATTTCATATTCTAGGGACAGTTAAGATAAAATGATCCCTGGTGAGTGAATTCAGGTGGGATTTGTGCTCTTTCAGTGCCTAGCACTACCTTTTTTTAAAGGCTACTCTTGTCAATATGGATGAGGTAAGGTGTTTGCTGTTTAGAGACATGCTCTGTTCATAAATTGATGGAAGAATAACAGGAAGAGTGTTGTTGTGTGTCAAGAGTGCAGTTGGTGGAAGAGAGAAAGGCTGGTATGATTTTGTCCTTCAGGGGCATTTGCCACTACAGTTCTCCCGATGTTTTGGGTTTGTATATAAATGTATCTCTATGTATACATGCATATATGTATACATGGTGCAAATAAAAAGTAGATTCTGCAGATGGGTACATTGGATTCTGTAGCTTCTTTCTCTCCAAACTACATGCCCTTCTTGTCCTTCTGGTGTGTGTGTGTGTAAATGTGTATGCTGCTAGGAAACAGGCTAGTTGTAATGATATGCTTGGGAATTATTTTTGTCCTGTGGTATTCCATCAATAATTGCTAACTGCCCTGATATATGTAACTGTGAAACTCGGCTAGCCCGACATCTCCAAATACCTGAAAGCTTGGAGCATACTAGAATAAGTAATGAATTGGATATACATAGTTACTCTGCTTTATTAGCTCTAGGACATATATTATTTATATTGAAATTTAAAGAAACAGTGCTTGAACACAAGACAGTTGTTCCTTTGTGTATTTAATATTATTTAAACTAGAGAAATGTCTTTAGCTTTAATGAAAAATACAGTATAATCTAAGAAATGTAGATTTGCACAGCAGTGATTGATAAATTTTTATCATTATTAGCAGCTTCAAGATATTTTGAATTGTGCAAATTTTCTTAAGTGGTGATGCTTAAAATAGGTAATATTTATAATAACCTCATATGAATTCTTGGGGGAAGTTTCCAAGAGAGGAATTTTGGCAGGTTCAAGTGAACTGTATATGTTCATAGAATCACAACCTCAGGTTGGAAGGACCCATAAGGATCAGTGTGTCCAACTCCCTAATGCCCAGCTCGAACTTCCCCTGGTGCAGCTTCATTCCATTTCCTCATGTCCTGCTGCAGGTCACCAGAGAGGGGAGATCAGCACCTTCCTCTCCACTGCCTCCCTGTTCCTGGTTAGGAGGGTGCAGATTCCTGTGAGGTCACCCTTCAGCCTTCTGACTGCTGACCATTTTGTTCTCTGGAAAGAAAGCTAATTTGCTTCCAGCAATTTAGTCCTCTGACCAGGGGTGAGGAAGCCTGATAATCATTGGAGTTCTTACTGCTTGCTTTGGTTATGAATTGACTCCTAATGTTAAGGGAAAGAAAAAAAAAAAAAAAAGGGAAAAAAGTTGTGTGGAGGTGGAAGTACTTAGTAATGGAAAAAAAATAATTAATGGAATTAGAGAGATAGAAATATTAGATCAGACCTGATCAGACAAGACTTAGAAGTTGTTAGATTTATTTCTTAACTAGCAGAGTCCTAACAGTTTTAGAGTCGGTGGTCAAAAATTATGTTTAAAACTAACAAGGAGAGTAACATGGATGTTAATACAGATGTATTTGGCTAGTTTGAGTTTGTAGCAAATAAAGCAACATAGCATGCTTCAAGTCTTGTAGAAAAGGGCAGAAGTTATAAGACTGTATTTGGTACAGCATCTTAGAATGGCACGGAATTACTGTGATTTCAAAAGTAAGTATTTGCCCTTATTTTGCAAGCATGAATAATTTGTTGAAGAGTACAACAAGAAGAGTTGGTTATAAAAATACTTGAATAAAGCTAAACTTATTAAAATGTGTTGCAGAATACTTGGTCCGCCACTTGTCTTTCATCACTGTATTATTTGAAGTAGATAGTTCTGTTATTGAATATAAGCAAAATAAATATTTGTATTTATGCCCAGAAAATATGAAACAGAAGTCTTTATTTACTGTATGTTAGCTTCATATATTTGTGGTAACTATTAATATCTCTAATAATATCTGATGGTCAATAGTACGGTAATTGCCTTTCAGACACTCTTCAAGTTCAAAAAAGGAGATATACGTTCTGCCTCTTTTGCTTCATGGCTTTGCAGTCACCAGGGAAGGGGAATAAAACTGAAATTTACTCAGAATAATGCTAAGGAAGTGGAAAATCATTACCAAATATTTCCTTCAGTTTGTGGGATTAAGGGCTATGAAATGATTTCCAGAATCTAGAGTCATATGAAATAATGTCATGGGATTATTCATAATGTCATTATTCATGACATTATAAATGGCAACACCAAATTCAGTCATCCCTCTTAAAATTAAGCTATGTAGTCTGAAATATAGCCAGGTGAGAGCATTTGATATTCATATTGTCCATGCCAAAAGTAAAATCATAGAATAAGGGTGATCTGTAATGGAATTTTACCTTTGCGTCAATACAAGTGAAATATATTTATTTTGGAGAGGAATATGAATGCCAGTGATTAGAAACTGCAAGTGTATCATATTTCTGTTTGCCTGATCTTATATAGCTGTTTGTTCTACCTGCTTTCTATTTTGTTTATAGTTCAGGTGGTGCCCTGACAAAATATGAACCAGCTGCTTTCTTACAGCCTGCTACTGGAGCAGTGTGGTACTGGATTTGAAATAGGTTCTGAACATAGAAGGTAATTTAGCAGTTTGATATCTGGTTGTTAGAGTGACATGCACTGAACTTTGATGTTGGAACTGCTGTCTTTTAAAGTGACCTCCCTAGAAGAGGGGAGCATTGAAGACTGACATATAGGAAATTCTTGCTGTTTGAGGGAGATCTGAAGTAATTTCTTTTTAAAAAGGAATTATAAGTCTTCTGTGCAATCTTCTGTAAGTAATGGTTTATTTTCAACAGGCAGGGAAACCTGCGTTTGTCTATTACACGGTTAATGAACAAAGAATGGTGTGTACATGGTATGCCTTCATCCAGAGGAATGCTGTGCCTGCCACGTCTCATTTTTTACCTTCTGTCAGTGATGGTCTGGGAGAACTTGCTTAAATCAGTCTTCGTCCCAGTCTCCAAATGTTACAAATCACTGTGTTTGTAATTTATGGTATTATTTCACAGTCGACTTACAGCAAACACAGAAGTAATGTTCTTTGGTCAAACATACTCTTGTCAGTTACTACATGTTCCCATCTTTAATTGTATTAATTCTAGAGCCTAGTGTGATGGTTTGGTTCACAGCATCAGCTCTCTTGTTTGACTGAGTGCTGCCCATTTCTTGCACAGACCTAGTGTGCAGCTGAATCATCAAGCTGATCTGAATGTCTGTAAAATGAGACTGTAGCTTTGTTCTGAAACTGTTATGTGTAGCATCCCCAGAGAGAAACTTTATTTGGGATTTACTGAAGTTTTTTGACTTTGTAAGAGGTTTTATACAGTTAATTCCCTTGGATCATAGTAAAATTAAAACCACTAATTGGGTGTTGTATTAATCTACGTATTATTTAGCACTGAAGCTTTTGTTGTTCTTCTGGGGTTTGTCTTGAGGGCAAAAAACCCAAACCAACCAATTAACATTCCTGAAAGGATCATGCAATGGATAAGAATAAATGTACACGAGACAGGTGTCATGCCTTAGTCTAGCAAGCATTACTCTTGGAAGAAAATTAGTTTTTATCATGTCTTCTCGCTCTCTATGACACTGACTTTTAAATTGTGCTTACACGATTGCATCTTTCAGATTAATGTGGTTGGAACATTCATCTGTGTTAAAAGCCTCCTGATCCCTCTTCCAGTATTACAGTTGGAGGTTCAGCTGTGCAAATTGATGCACTGCCCTTGCTTGAACAAGAAGCCCGTGTTTTTTGTATGTTTGCTGTGGAGGAGGATGTGAGGTGACTGTGGCATTCTGGTTGGTTTGCTGGAAATCTGCTACCTGTGAGTGCAACTGCCAAGAGTACCCTCTTGAGCCTGTGCTCAACTAAATACCCCATCTTCCAAAGTCATAAGAAAATAAATAAAAACATACTGAATTTGATGACGTAATCTTGTCAAAGGTAATTCCTCTGTTACAGTGTGTAACTGTTGAAGTGGCAAGGTATGAAAATGATAATCAAGATTTTACCCTGTGAGGTAAACAAAAAATTTAAGAGTGTTGACAGATTTTCTGATTCGTGTTGTGCATAATTGGCAAGCTAAGTGAAATTCTTCAAGTGATTGCTTGAATGTATTAATATAAATGTGCTACAAGCAAAAACGATGATGTTTATCACTTGGATAAATGATCTAGTCATGTAAATTATACATTCTAAAATTACGGGGGGGGAGGGGTGGGGCGGGTCTTGAGACATTTTTGCCATTCCCATAGCAATTAGTTTCAATCCAGTCTTACTGGTTACCAGTGCTACTTCATGTTCTTTACACCAAACTTGCTACAGAAGTAGCACTTCCATTAGTGCCCGCTAATCTTAAGTGAGAACGGGCATTGGTGCTGAGGAAACAAATGTCACTGACCACGAAGCTATTTGTTCAGCAGGATGCCATGGGGTGTCACCAACACGCTCAGTACAGTCCAGCTTTTAACCAGGGCATCTCATGGAACTGATGTCAATGTGAAATGATTGTGTTTATTGAAACTGCAAAACTCAAAAACCAGAGCCTGGAAGTCTTCATCAAACTGGCCTGGAAACAAACTATCAGGGTCTCTGACGAGATGGTTGGATATGCTGAAATTGAGAGCAAGAAGCCCAAGAGCTGTGCAACAAGCAACTGTGTGCTTGTAAATGCAGGGAATCTGCTGCTTAGGCTTCGCAGACTTCAGAGCTCCTTCTCACTCTGTACTTGTAGAACCAGTTTTAAAATCAGACAGACTTACTTTACCAAAACCAGGGGTGGCTGAAGGAAAACATGGTACTCCATGATTCTAAGAAGCCTTTTAAAAAGATGGAGAACTGAATTGTAGGAGTTCATTTTAAAATGAACCTTCCAAAAAAATTAACAGCAGAAGTTTCATATTTTTCCATATATCTTGTATGCAAGTTGTTTTATTCCTTAGTAATTCTGTTAATTTGCTTGTGACTAAGAAATGAAATGACACTGTGAAGGGCTGTCTGCTTTTAGACATGCAAGTATTGGACTGTTGAGAATACAAACCAAGCCATTGATAAGCTGCCCACTGTTATAGGGAAGCTGTTCTGACCTCCAGACAGCTGCTCCTTCTGCAGTTGGATGGACTAGAAGAATTAGGAAAAACAATTATCACCCGAACCAGTTGGAAAATGGAATGGCACTTGATTTTTTCAGTGCATGCATTGAACTGTCTCCCTTGTCAGTAGATGATAAAGAAATTACAAGGGCTTAGACTACATGAGGAGTTTGCATGCTAGATTCTTGTAGACAAGAAATGGTGCTTTCTAATTAAGCTCCACACCCATGAAATAGATGGCAAAGTCCAAGTTTCGAAGAGGAAACCACAGTTGCAGGCAAAACCGGCTGACCAGGCAGGTGTTGCCTTTCTTCATTTACAGCTCTGGCAGCTTGGCCTTGTAGTCTTATTGTATAGCACTAGCAAGGTGTGGGATGGGGTGTGTGCATGTGATCTGTTTACTGTGTACAACCTCTGCAAAAGAATACCTGCATAATCTTATTAAGGCTCCATATTCATTTTGTATGTTGTGTATCAAATGGAAGGAATAAATTGCTTTACTAGCAGTTTTACAAAGTCTACCTCAGTTCTGTTTTTATGGTACATTCCGTTGCTCTTGAGGTTTATTTGAAAGAACCCTTTGCAGCTCATTAATGTAACATTGTATTGCAAAATCCAGAAAAGCCTGTTACAGTAGTGCTATCAAACATGAACTGACTTGTCGTGTGACAGCTGCTCAGGATTCCTGTTTACACTTTCTTGTTTCTGCAGCCACTTTTGCTATGTTTACACTTACAGCACCATTGGCATGGAATGTAAAAAACCCCATTCTTTCAGTTTCATCAGATGGTGTGAGGGGAAAGACTTTCTGATTCTGTTGCATTCTTGCACCAGAAAATTCCTGGCAAATGTGAGGAGACAGAGGGTAGTAGCATTTTCTGAATAGGCATTTATACCATCCTCCATAAATATCAAATACACAAACATACAGAACTTGTGCAGCTGATGTCTGCAAATATCTGCTGAATAGACATTTTGGGGTTTGTTTCAGTCCTGCTGTAAAGGGATGATAAGTCACTTATCCTTTCTCCAGAACTGTTAGACATACTGACTGTCACTGTCAAAGGTTATTGCTCTTAACTTATTTAGACAACATTAACACCAGTTACTGAATGAGCAATATATAATTGCAAATAGAAGTGCCAAGGATCATGCTGAGTAACAGACTCTGTAGCTCTGTTTAAAGAAAAATGACACCTTAATTTTAAGTGCTGTATAATTAGACCTTGAAAGTACTGTGTTTTTGAATAGAGATGCAGCATTTGCAGTGGGGAGAAAGTTTGAAGTTCTGCCATTTTTTAAAGACTACCAAATTGCAGTAACTACTTAATTGTTGATTTAACTGCTGATATTTTAGTGGCTACTTCTCAAGTGCTGTCAAGGTTAATAATTTGCTGTGGTAACTTAATTCTCAAATTTTGCTGAGTATAAAATATTCAGTGGCTTCTAAAAACTTCTGCATAATTGCTTATCTGAGCTTGTAATAATGATATGATAGTCTGACAAAATATAGAAGCTGCTGTATAATTTATATGAAAGTAGGGCATTCCACCCAAAGTATGAGTCTGGTATAAGGAGAACTGGACAAATATGAAACTAACAACAAAAAAACCTGAAAACCCTAAGATTGTTTTTCATTGTATGGAACTCCTCATACAGTAAGTGGGGTTTTCTGTTTGTTTGGTTTGGATTTATTTTGTTTAGTTTTATTTTAAATTTTTTAAATGTAAAAACCAATTCTTAATTAGATGAGCTCTAGTATTCTACTGAAATTTTCACTGTAACAAAAATATTTGAGGACTTACTATTATCTGCTCAAAAAGTCCTTCATGGATAAAAAACTGCTCTTGCCAAAGGGGTATTGATTCTTCCTTATTATTATTATGTAGCTTCACTATCCTTTCATAATTTGTTATTCCCCTTCACCTTAAGCTTAGGACTATAAAAGGAAAGGTAGCAAAGAGATTCCTTAAGAGGTTCATGTGTTGTTTCCTTCAAAAACCTTGGCTCTGTGCTTCTCTCATTTGCTTTATATTTCCAAAACCATCTAGAAAATGGCTTTTAGGGTTTGAGAGGTTTTCTTATTGTTTGTTTGTTTTCCAGTTTAATTTTTTCTTTGGTATTTATATTTAATTATGTTTGAACTTACATTTGTTTAATCCCTGCTGACTTTCAACATCTGTAGTTTTAATTAGACTTGTAAATATTAATTTTTATTTGTAATGACCTTCCTTTCACTGAAATATTGTTAATAAGTTGAATATGTAAGTTCCCATGGCTTCCTAGAGTGATTTTTAGTCATGCAGGTAGCAGCCCTTTTGTCTTCTTTTAGTTATATATTCTGTAAGTGCGACAAGTTGATCTTAAAATTGTTGAATGTATTACATGGAGCTTGTAAGTAATTTCATATTCTCAGCATATTTGTTATTACTTAATACTTTTTGGTCCATATAACGAGTTGTGTATCCTGTCTTTGTTCGTCTTCCTTGTACTCATTCTATTCTCACAGGAATATGAGGATGCCATGAAATAATGTTTCAGTTTTTGTTGATTTGCCATCCCATGTCAAGGGAATCAGATGACTCAAAGATGAGTTGCAAGTGCTCTTAAATGAATAATATAAATAATACTTTAGTATTTTGAGTAATAATCAAAAGTACTAAAACACTGAACGCTTGTTTCAGAACTGGAACCTATTAACATGTTGAAAATAAGTTTAGGTGTTGTCTGTGTGTTCTAGTTGCTGCATAGTTAAATGAGCCTTCCCTTTCTGTGGCTCCATATATGGCTTTCATGCCTCACTAACTGAATTTTCCTGTCATGTTCCAGTGAGTCTGAAAGAAAGGTAAATTGCTAAATTTTAATTAGCTCAAGCCTGAGTCAACTATAAATGTATTTAAGAAAAAAAATCATTGAGAAACAAAGTTCTTTACCTCAGAATTCCAGTTCTTCCCCCTGGGAAGGTAAATCAAACCTCTGAACTACCTGCTCACTCTTTGATGGCTTCTTTGGACAATATTATTTCACTGTATTGGTGTGCTGACTTTGATATCTTATGCTTGGTAGAAGTATAAGTAAGCTGGTGTTATACAGTGTATATAATGATTAACCTGTGGTAGCTCCAGAATGTCTACCTGCTGACCTGTTTTGGGCACCAAGGGTTCAAAACTCTTCTCATTTGTAAATGCTGTTGAATTAGGAAAGTGTTTTGACTCACATTTACTCCTGTCATGTAATTTACTTCACTAAACAAAATAATATATTGAAAAATTCTTGATAATTTTAGAGACTTGTTTCACACTGGCTGCTTAGTAGTAGTTCTCATTGTGTGCAGAGCTTTCAGACATCTTAAAAAAAGGTTGATCTACTGTCCTTTCTAAGCTACTCCAGAAAAAAAAAAAAATATCTACTCTTGCAGTAATGTTTGGAACTTTTCTAAGCCAAAATAAAATGCTTGCAGTCCAAAGGCAAACATAACTTTTTTAAAAAAAAAAAAAAAAAAAAAAAAAAGAAATGGGTTAACATAATCTGTAGCACCTGATAAGGAAAATTTACTTCATAAAGTAATTTATGTAAGTAGAGCAAGGAGTTTTGCATAATAGATGTTCCAGGAAGGTATTAATACTCATCACTCTGCCTACTGCATGCAGTTAGCCTCCTTCCTTCAGTCTGGAAGGAGGAGCA